CCAATACTTGAAGGTTTTGAGTGTTTTTCTTCGAATCTGTGTGACAATAGTAAAGGGGGGAATGAGGTAGAGTCAATTTAATAACAGGGATTATATATATATATTGGTGAATAAGAGGACTCTGGAAGATCTGTATTGCGCCGGTGAATGGCGTCTTATATTACCAAATCGAAGACTGCAAACAAAAGCTAACTAGTTGGCAGAAGAGGCTGGCACCAAAGACAGGACTTCAAGTGAACATAGAGAAGACGAAGGTGATGAAGACATCTAATCATGAACAACGGTAAGCACCAATCTCTACCGGTGGAAGAAATTTTTGGACGTGGTGGATTTTTCCACTTATCTGGCCAGTGTCGTTTCAAATGTTGTGGTTGCGGTTTAGGATGTCAAACCTGGGATCGGAGAAGCAAACAGACCTTCATGATTCTGAGATCACTTTGAGAATCTTGTGTACTTTGTAATATAAAGAAGAAACTTCAGATTTCCAACACCAATATCAAGTCAGTCACTGCTTCTGTGTGAGTCAGAAATTTCGCTTCCACGTTACGAAGACATTTTCAACAGATTCCTATTCTCCATATTGTAGATTAGATGACCGATGTGGAAGAATTAGCATTGAGAGACTCTGGAGACGTAACAGTCAAGGACCTTACGCTCAACAAATAATTCGGAGATGGTGTAGATAGATGTGAAACACGCTGAGGAGAGCGCTGGATGACATTGCGTGCAAGGCAAATCTTTGAATGTTACTCGAATGGGGAATTGTGATTAAAGGGTGTATACGAATGTGGCATGGGAGAGGAAGATGAGAGATTCTGAGTGGTCTTGTTGTCACCTAAATAGGAGTGTTTGAAGCAAGACAAAATGAAGATTTGTTACGTGAAACTCTCAATTGCACTCAGGACCTTTGCAATGTTAGGATAGTTACTTTCGGATAATTCTCTCTGTTATCCAGTCTTTAAAATTTAATTTAAAGTGTGTAGGAATCAAGAACACGAAAAAAGAATGCATGATGACATATGTGTGACATAAGTGTGAAATCAGACCTCTTGTTTTTCGGTTGATGTTGGCTGACATCGGAACACACGATGCACGTTTTCATCCATTTTTAACTTGTCAACTCGATTCGACCGCATTCTAAGTGGTTAGTTTTCCTGCTTCACTGAGACTCTAACCAATTGTCTTGCTCTTTTGGATAGAAACTGTTGCTCTCTTAGACGTATATAGCATAATTTATAGTGATTGTTAATATGGTTGTCGAAAGCAGCCTTAAAAAAGCCACTAGAATAACGTACTCTGTAGTCACAAGGGCTTCAGCCAGGGAAGGAAAAAATCCAGGGATTTCAACCCTTTCCCGCATACCAATCCAAAAGTCTCGTGTAGTTTTCATCTGCCCTGATACAACGCCTGCATTGCCACAGTCTAGTACTGAAACGGTACAGGCAATACCAGAAGGACAGGATTCTACACCTGCATCAACTGTAGGCCAGTGTGTGAAACACATCAAGCATAAAAGGAAATGTGGTGATTGACAATTTCTATCTCTGTATTGTTTAAAATACTTACTGTTGACTGTTGATATGTTTCATATATGAATTGCATTCTAATTCCGCTAAATACAAATTCCTGATTGCTGCCCTCTCTGGGTTTTGTTTGGATTCTTATAATTCCGTCATCCCGGTATATTAATATTTCAAGTACAATAAATTACTACAATTTGGCGTCGCGATGGAGCTAAGTAACCTGGGAAGATTTCCTCTTAATGGTTCTTCGCGGGAGATTGCTGATTATTTGGAATGCTTTGATGCGTGGTGCATTTCCAAGAATGTTCGGGATGATAAAATACCTGCTCATTTCATCACCGCTATTGGGCTTGATGCATATAGCCTGGTGAAGAATCTGGCATTTCCAGATAAACCCATTTCTCTGTCATATGACAAGATCCGTGAACTTCTGACAAATCACTTTCATGTGACTACATTTGAGACCAGAGAGAGGGCTCACTTCAACAAACTGGTACGTTCTCCCAACCAGAAGATTAGAGACTTCATTCTTCAACTTCAAATTCAAGCCTCAAATTGTAATTTTGGAGATCAGCTGCATACACAACTACGTGATCGTCTAATTGCTGGAATCAATATTCCTAAATTAGAGAAAGAGTTAATTCAGATTCCTTCTTGTACGTTTCAAACTGCTAAAGATGTATGTATTACATATGAAGATGTCCATAATGAATACTCTGCTCCCACTACGTCAGTGTCTGATGTTATGCTTTCTAAAGTCGAAAATACAAGTGTTCATGGAAAGAAATCCAAACTGCCGTCCACAGGTAATAGAATGCAGCCAGAGATCAAAAACATTAAACCGTGTTTATCCTGTGGAAAGTTACATCTACGAAGCACTTGCCGTTTTCGGAGTGCTAAGTGCTATAAATGTAGTAAAGTTGGACACATCAAGACGGTTTGCAGAAGTTCGAATACATATGTTGCTCAACATTCTTATAATTCTCCCAAGCTGTCTAGTAAAATGGAGTCAATGTGTCTTTCAACCTTTCAAAATACTCAAGCTAATCCGATGAAAACCTCCACTACAAGTTCGGCAACTCAAGTGTCAACTGTTTTCAAAAATGAGGTAGCTGAATTACAATGTGAACTGTCGAAAACAGGAAAAGACCTGAATGAGATGAGAGAGCAACTGAATAAAATTGAGGAATTACTGCATATGCATAGACTACGTCTGGTGAATCCAGAGCATACAAGTTCTTGTGAAAGTCCTGCAAAACTTTTCAAATCTCGAATTCTCAAAAAGCATCTGATGTCCACAACTTCTAATGTACATTATTACAAAGATAATAACTATAGATCTTCTGTTGGAATTATACTACAAAAAATGGGAAATCGAGTGGTAAAGATATTAGACATCAAACATCACTCAGTTCATAACGGACACCTGGACAAAGTGACAATAAATGAAGTAGGTCGTTCCAATTATAATATTATTGATTCCGCTAATAATCCTGATTTTGTAGATAATTCTGAAATAAGTCCAGATAATACTGATGAAAATAATATCACAGAATCAGTTAGGTCGAAGCTACTTGCAAGCAAACCGAGACATCGTTATAAATACGCAAGGAGATATTCGAGGTGTGGCGGATGTGGTGATTGACAATTTCTATCTCTGTATTGTTTAAAATACTTACTGTTGACTGTTGATATGTTTCATATATGAATTGCATTCTAATTCCGCTAAATACAAATTCCTGATTGCTGCCCTCTCTGGGTTTTGTTTGGATTCTTATAATTCCGTCATCCCGGTATATTAATATTTCAAGTACAATAAATTACTACAATTTGGCGTCGCGATGGAGCTAAGTAACCTGGGAAGATTTCCTCTTAATGGTTCTTCGCGGGAGATTGCTGATTATTTGGAATGCTTTGATGCGTGGTGCATTTCCAAGAATGTTCGGGATGATAAAATACCTGCTCATTTCATCACCGCTATTGGGCTTGATGCATATAGCCTGGTGAAGAATCTGGCATTTCCAGATAAACCCATTTCTCTGTCATATGACAAGATCCGTGAACTTCTGACAAATCACTTTCATGTGACTACATTTGAGACCAGAGAGAGGGCTCACTTCAACAAACTGGTACGTTCTCCCAACCAGAAGATTAGAGACTTCATTCTTCAACTCCAAATTCAAGCCTCAAATTGTAATTTTGGAGATCAGCTGCATACACAACTACGTGATCGTCTAATTGCTGGAATCAATATTCCTAAATTAGAGAAAGAGTTAATTCAGATTCCTTCTTGTACGTTTCAAACTGCTAAAGATGTATGTATTACATATGAAGATGTCCATAATGAATACTCTGCTCCCACTACGTCAGTGTCTGATGTTATGCTTTCTAAAGTCGAAAATACAAGTGTTCATGGAAAGAAATCCAAACTGCCGTCCACAGGTAATAGAATGCAGCCAGAGATCAAAAACATTAAACCGTGTTTATCCTGTGGAAAGTTACATCTACGAAGCACTTGCCGTTTTCGGAGTGCTAAGTGCTATAAATGTGGTAAAGTTGGACACATCAAGACGGTTTGCAGAAGTTCGAATACATATGTTGCTCAACATTCTTATAATTCTCCCAAGCTGTCTAGTAAAATGGAGTCAATGTGTCTTTCAACCTTTCAAAATACTCAAGCTAATCCGATGAAAACCTCCACTACAAGTTCGGCAACTCAAGTGTCAACTGTTTTCAAAAATGAGGTAGCTGAATTACAATGTGAACTGTCGAAAACAGGAAAAGACCTGAATGAGATGAGAGAGCAACTGAATAAAATTGAGGAATTACTGCATATGCATAGACTACGTCTGGTGAATCCAGAGCATACAAGTTCTTGTGAAAGTCCTGCAAAACTTTTCAAATCTCGAATTCTCAAAAAGCATCTGATGTCCACAACTTCTAATGTACATTATTACAAAGATAATAACTATAGACCTTCTGTTGGAATTATACTACAAAAAATGGGAAATCGAGTGGTAAAGATATTAGACATCAAAGATCACTCAGTTCATAACGGACACCTGGACAAAGTGACAATAAATGAAGTAGGTCGTTCCAATTATAATATTATTGATTCCGCTAATAATCCTGATTTTGTAGATAATTCTGAAATAAGTCCAGATAATACTGATGAAAATAATATCACAGAATCAGTTAGGTCGAAGCTACTTGCAAGCAAACCGAGACATCGTTATAAATACGCAAGGAGATATTCGAGGTGTGGCGGATGTGGTGATTGACAATTTCTATCTCTGTATTGTTTAAAATACTTACTGTTGACTGTTGATATGTTTCATATATGAATTGCATTCTAATTCCGCTAAATACAAATTCCTGATTGCTGCCCTCTCTGGGTTTTGTTTGGATTCTTATAATTCCGTCATCCCGGTATATTAATATTTCAAGTACAATAAATTACTACAAATTGGCGTCGCGATGGAGCTAAGTAACCTGGGAAAATTTCCTCTTAATGGTTCTCCGCGGGAGATTGCTGATTATTTGGAATGCTTTGATGCGTGGTGCATTTCCAAGAATGTTCGGGATGATAAAATACCTGCTCATTTCATCACCGCTATTGGTCTTGATGCATATAGCCTGGTGAAGAATCTGGCGTTTCCAGATAAACCCATTTCTATGTCATATGCTAAGCTCCGTGAACTTCTTATAGATCACTTCCATGTAACTACTTTTGAGACCAGAGAGAGGGCTCACTTCAACAAACTGGTACGTTCTCCCAATCAGAAGATTAGAGACTTCATTCTTCAACTTCAAATTCAAGCCTCAAAGTGTAATTTTGGAGATCAGCTGCATACACAACTACGTGATCGTCTAATTGCTGGAATCAATATTCCTAAATTAGAGAAAGAGTTAATTCAGATTCCTTCTTGTACGTTTCAAACTGCTAAAGATGTATGTATTACATATGAAGATGTCAATAATGAATACTCTGCTCCCACTACGTCAGTGTCTGATGTTATGCTTTCTAAAGTCGAAAATACAAGTGTTCATGGAAAGAAATCCAAACTGCCGTCCACAGGTAATAGAATGCAGCGAGAGATCAAAAACATTAAACCGTGTTTATCCTGTGGAAAGTTACATCTACGAAGCACTTGCCGTTTTCGGAGTGCTAAGTGCTATAAATGTGGTAAAGTTGGACACATCAAGACGGTTTGCAGAAGTTCGAGTACTTATGTTGCTCAACATTCTTATAATTCTCCCAAGCTGTCTAGTAAAATGGAGTCTATGTGTCTTTCAACTTTTCAAAATACTCAAGCTAATCCAACGAAAACCTCCACTGCAAGTTCAGCAACGCAAGTATCAACTGTATTCAAAAATGAGGTAGCTAAGTTGCAATGTGAACTGTCGAAAACACGAAAAGACCTGAATGAGATGAGAGAGCAACTGAATAAAATTGAGGAATTACTGCATATGCATAGACTACGTCTGGTGAATCCAGAGCATACAAGTTCTTGTGAAAGTCCTGCAAAACTATTCAAATCTCGAATTCTCAAAAAGCATCTGATGTCCACTACTTCTAATGTACATTATTACAAAGATAATAACTACAGACCTTCTGTTGGAATTATACTACAAAAAATGGGAAATCGAGTGGTGAAGATATTAGACATCAAAGATCACTCAGTTCATAACGGACACCTGGACAAAGTGACAATAAATGAAGTAGGTCGTTCCAATTATAATATTATTGATTCCGCTAATAATCCTGATTTTGTAGATAATTCAGAAATAAGTCCAGATAATACTGATGAAAATAATATCACAGAATCAGTTAGGTCGAAGCTACTTGCAAGCAAACCGAGACATCGTTATAAATACGCGAGGAGATATTCGAGGTGTGGCGGATGTGGTGATTGACAATTTCTATCTCTGTATTGTTTAAAATACTTACTGTTGACTGTTGATATGTTTCATATATGAATTGCATAATAATTCCGCTAAATACAAATTCCTGATTGCTGCCCTCTCTGGGTTTTGTTTAGATTCTTATAATTCCGTCATCTCGGAATATTAATATTTCAAGTACAATAAATTACTACAAATTGGCGTCGCGATGGAGCTAAGTAACCTGGGAAAATTTCCTCTTAATGGTTCTCCGCGGGAGATTGCTGATTATTTGGAATGCTTTGATGCGTGGTGCATTTCCAAGAATGTTCGGGATGATAAAATACCTGCTCATTTCATCACTGCTATTGGGCTTGATGCATATAGCCTGGTGAAGAATCTGGCATTTCCAGATAAACCCATTTCTATGTCATATGACAAGATCCGTGAACTTCTGACAAATCACTTTCATGTGACTACATTTGAGACCAGAGAGAGGGCTCACTTCAACAAACTGGTACGTTCTCCCAACCAGAAGATTAGAGACTTCATTCTTCAACTTCAAATTCAAGCCTCAAAGTGTAACTTTGGAGATCAGCTGCATACTCAACTACGTGATCGTCTAATTGCTGGAATCAATATTCCTAAATTAGAGAAAGAGTTAATTCAGATTCCTTCTTGTACGTTTCAAACTGCTAAAGATGTATGTATTACATATGAAGATGTCCATAATGAATACTCTGCTCCCACTACGTCAGTGTCTGATGTTATGCTTTCTAAAGTCGAAAATACAAGTGTTCATGGAAAGAAATCCAAACTGCCGTCCACAGGTAATAGAATGCAGCGAGAGATCAAAAACATTAAACCGTGTTTATCCTGTGGAAAGTTACATCTACGAAGCACTTGCCGTTTTCGGAGTGCTAAGTGCTATAAATGTGGTAAAGTTGGACACATCAAGACGGTTTGCAGAAGTTCGAATACATATGTTGCTCAACATTCTTATAATTCTCCCAAGCTGTCTAGTAAAATGGAGTCAATGTGTCTTTCAACCTTTCAAAATACTCAAGCTAATCCAATGAAAACCTCCACTACAAGTTCGGCAACTCAAGTGTCAACTGTTTTCAAAAATGAGGTAGCTGAGTTGCAATGCGAACTGTCGAAAGCACGAAAAGACCTGAATGAGATGAGAGAGCAACTGATTAAAATTGAGGAATTACTGCATATGCATAGACTGCGTCTGTCGAATGCAGAGCATACAAGTACCCGTGAAAGTCCTGCAAAACTTTGCAAATCTCGAATTCTCAAGAAGCATCTGATGTCCACGACTTCTAATGTACATTATTACAAAGATAATAACTACAGACCTTCTGTTGGAATTATACTACAAAAAATGGGAAATCGAGTGGTGAAGATATTAGACATCAAAGATCACTCAGTTCATAACGGACACCTGGACAAAGTGACAATAAATGAAGTAGGTCGTTCCAATTATAATATTATTGATTCCGCTAATAATCCTGATTTTGTAGATAATTCAGAAATAAGTCCAGATAGTACTGATGAAAATAATATCACAGAATCAGTTAGGTCGAAGCTACTTGCAAGCAAACCGAGACATCGTTATAAATACGCAAGGAGATATTCGAGGTGTGGCGGATGTGGTGATTGACAATTTCTATCTCTGTATTGTTTAAAATACTTACTGTTGACTGTTGATATGTTTCATATATGAATTGCATAATAATTCCGCTAAATACAAATTCCTGATTGCTGCCCTCTCTGGGTTTTGTTTGGATTCTTATAATTCCGTCATCCCGGTATATTAATATTTCAAGTACAATAAATTACTACAAATTGGCGTCGCGATGGAGCTAAGTAACCTGGGAAAATTTCCTCTTAATGGTTCTCCGCGGGAGATTGCTGATTATTTGGAATGCTTTGATGCGTGGTGCATTTCCAAGAATGTTCGGGATGATAAAATACCTGCTCATTTCATCACCGCTATTGGGCTTGATGCATATAGCCTGGTGAAGAATCTGGCGTTTCCAGATAAACCCATTTCTATGTCATATGCCAAGCTCCGTGAACTTCTTATAGATCACTTCCATGTAACTACTTTTGAGACCAGAGAGAGGGCTCACTTCAACAAACTGGTACGTTCTCCCAACCAGAAGATTAGAGACTTCATTCTTCAACTTCAAATTCAAGCCTCAAAGTGTAATTTTGGAGATCAGCTGCATACACAACTACGTGATCGTCTAATTGCTGGAATCAATATTCCTAAATTAGAGAAAGAGTTAATTCAGATTCCTTCTTGTACGTTTCAAACTGCTAAAGATGTATGTATTACATATGAAGATGTCAATAATGAATACTCTGCTCCCACTACGTCAGTGTCTGATGTTATGCTTTCTAAAGTCGAAAATACAAGTGTTCATGGAAAGAAATCCAAACTGCCGTCCACAGGTAATAGAATGCAGCGAGAGATCAAAAACATTAAACCGTGTTTATCCTGTGGAAAGTTACATCTACGAAGCACTTGCCGTTTTCGGAGTGCTAAGTGCTATAAATGTGGTAAAGTTGGACACATCAAGACGGTTTGCAGAAGTTCGAATACTTATGTTGCTCAACATTCTTATAATTCTCCCAAGCTGTCTAGTAAAATGGAGTCTATGTGTCTTTCAACTTTTCAAAATACTCAAGCTAATCCGATGAAAACCTCCACTACAAGTTCGGCAACTCAAGTGTCAACTGTTTTCAAAAATGAGGTAGCTGAGTTGCAATGTGAACTGTCGAAAACACGAAAAGACCTGAATGAGATGAGAGAGCAACTGAATAAAATTGAGGAATTACTGCATATGCATAGACTACGTCTGGTGAATCCAGAGCATACAAGTTCTTGTGAAAGTCCTGCAAAACTATTCAAATCTCGAATTCTCAAAAAGCATCTGATGTCCACGACTTCTAATGTACATTATTACAAAGATAATAACTACAGACCTTCTGTTGGAATTATACTACAAAAAATGGGAAATCGAGTGGTGAAGATATTAGACATCAAAGATCACTCAGTTCATAACGGACACCTGGACAAAGTGACAATAAATGAAGTAGGTCGTTCCAATTATAATATTATTGATTCCGCTAATAATCCTGATTTTGTAGATAATTCAGAAATAAGTCCAGATAATACTGATGAAAATAATATCACAGAATCAGTTAGGTCGAAGCTACTTGCAAGCAAACCGAGACATCGTTATAAATACGCGAGGAGATATTCGAGGTGTGGCGGATGTGGTGATTGACAATTTCTATCTCTGTATTGTTTAAAATACTTACTGTTGACTGTTGATATGTTTCATATATGAATTGCATTCTAATTCCGCTAAATACAAATTCCTGATTGCTGCCCTCTCTGGGTTTTGTTTGGATTCTTATAATTCCGTCATCCCGGTATACTAATATTTCAAGTACAATAAATTACTACAAATTGGCGTCGCGATGGAGCTAAGTAACCTGGGAAAATTTCCTCTTAATGGTTCTCCGCGGGAGATTGCTGATTATTTGGAATGCTTTGATGCGTGGTGCATTTCCAAGAATGTTCGGGATGATAAAATACCTGCTCATTTCATCACCGCTATTGGGCTTGATGCATATAGCCTGGTGAAGAATCTGGCGTTTCCAGATAAACCCATTTCTCTGTCATATGACAAGATCCGTGAACTTCTGACAAATCACTTTCATGTGACTACATTTGAGACCAGAGAGAGGGCTCACTTCAACAAACTGGTACGTTCTCCCAACCAGAAGATTAGAGACTTCATTCTTCAACTCCAAATTCAAGCCTCAAAGTGTAATTTTGGAGATCAGCTGCATACACAACTACGTGATCGTCTAATTGCTGGAATCAATATTCCTAAATTAGAGAAAGAGTTAATTCAGATTCCTTCTTGTACGTTTCAAACTGCTAAAGATGTATGTATTACATATGAAGATGTCCATAATGAATACTCTGCTCCCACTACGTCAGTGTCTGATGTTATGCTTTCTAAAGTCGAAAATACAAGTGTTCATGGAAAGAAATCCAAACTGCCGTCCACAGGTAATAGAATGCAGCCAGAGATCAAAAACATTAAACCGTGTTTATCCTGTGGAAAGTTACATCTACGAAGCACTTGCCGTTTTCGGAGTGCTAAGTGCTATAAATGTAGTAAAGTTGGACACATCAAGACGGTTTGCAGAAGTTCGAATACATATGTTGCTCAACATTCTTATAATTCTCCCAAGCTGTCTAGTAAAATGGAGTCAATGTGTCTTTCAACCTTTCAAAATACTCAAGCTAATCCGATGAAAACCTCCACTACAAGTTCGGCAACTCAAGTGTCAACTGTTTTCAAAAATGAGGTAGCTGAATTACAATGTGAACTGTCGAAAACAGGAAAAGACCTGAATGAGATGAGAGAGCAACTGAATAAAATTGAGGAATTACTGCATATGCATAGACTACGTCTGGTGAATCCAGAGCATACAAGTTCTTGTGAAAGTCCTGCAAAACTTTTCAAATCTCGAATTCTCAAAAAGCATCTGATGTCCACAACTTCTAATGTACATTATTACAAAGATAATAACTATAGATCTTCTGTTGGAATTATACTACAAAAAATGGGAAATCGAGTGGTAAAGATATTAGACATCAAAGATCACTCAGTTCATAACGGACACCTGGACAAAGTGACAATAAATGAAGTAGGTCGTTCCAATTATAATATTATTGATTCCGCTAATAATCCTGATTTTGTAGATAATTCTGAAATAAGTCCAGATAATACTGATGAAAATAATATCACAGAATCAGTTAGGTCGAAGCTACTTGCAAGCAAACCGAGACATCGTTATAAATACGCAAGGAGATATTCGAGGTGTGGCGGATGTGGTGATTGACAATTTCTAT